CTGCCAGCCCTGGGGCTGCGCGTTGCTCACAGGCGTCCGCCCCGCTCCCAGCGAAGGGCAGCAGTGAAATCGGGAGGGGAGCTGATGGTGGGGCCCAGGCCTGTGGCGCTGCTCTGCCTGGTGCCTCCAGCTGCACAGAGCCAAGCGTGTAGCCCCAGTGGGCTCAGGGTCTGCACAGGAGCCACTGTCCTCCCGGGCCGGTCACCTTGGCTGGCACACGCCCGCTCCCGGCGATGGGTTGAGCACTGACCTGCGCATGTCCCTGGCTGTGGGTGAGCATCGATCCTCGCAGGTGGAGGTGGCGCAGTCGTATGTTGGCCCTGCTCCTGCACCCGCCGAAAGCCACTGTACAGTCAGGGTGAGGGAGGCAGGAGAGGGGTCTCTCTTCCAGCTGCTGGTGGGGGGGAGAGGCAAGTTGTGTGTCTCCTGGGGCTGCTCAGCACTTAACAGCCTGTCTCTTGTTGCTTCTCAGGGCAGTAAACGGCTTTGATCAAGGTCCCCCAGGATTGGGAGCCTCTCGACCGTCCTCAGCGCCTGGCATGCTCCCTCTGAGCGTATGAGCCCGCGGGAGGTCGTGTTCGGACTTGCGGATGCGTTTCTCGGCCCACCAAGAGAAGAACTGCTCCTGATTCCTCCCCATTCCCGCCCCGCTGGAACACGACCCGCACCGTGCTGCCAGAGGAGACCCTGCGCTCACGGCCCTTCATGTCATGTTAATACAGTTTATTTTCTCCTGTTGCTGTAGCGGACGTTCTCTGACTTGGCCCCACGCCCCGTGTCGCACAAGCTGGGACATGCAGTGCTCTGCTTCAGGGAAGGCAGGAGCCTTGCTCACCAAACCTGGGCCAGGTAGCCCTTGGCCCCTCGCTTTATCTCTTCTCTAACGTAGGTTTGGCTTGGCACAAACGTTGGCTGCTCCTCTTAAAGGCTCCCCTGCTCCCTGCCTGCTGAGGATGTGCAGCGGCTGCCCTCCCGGTAAGGCTCCAGCCTGGCGAAAGGG